GAGACACTATAGGCCTATAACTCTTTTGCCCATTCTATCGAAAATATTTGAAAAGTTAATTTATAAGAAGCTAAACAGCTATTTAGTTGGCAATAATCTGTTGAATAAGAATCAGTCTGGTTTCAGACATCGGGACTCATGTGTAAATCAACTTTTATCTATTGTTCATCATATATATAGGGGTTTTGAAACAAAGCAATACGATGCATCATTGCATACGACAGGCAATAATCTGCTGCAAATGGCTAATCAGCTAAATGGTGACCTTGACAAAGTGTATAAATGATCTATTAACTGGAAACTACCCCTGAATGCAGATAAATGCGTATCAATGTTATTCACATTAATAAAACCTCCGCAAATGCTACCTACACTTCAAATTGGAGCAACAGTGCTCAGTTATGTTCAGTCGCATAAACACCTAGGATTAATATTAATACCCAAATTAAACTGGACTAAACATGTTGCCTATCTGGTGCAAAAAGTGAATAAACTAATTGGGCTATTAAAACTTTGCAGTAGAATTCTATGTCGTCAGGTACTTGACGTGGTTTATAAGTCCTTCATTATGCCCTGTTTTAATTACGGTAGTATCATATATAGTAACACATCCGATCCCAATATTGAGCATATTCAAAAGCTGCAGTATCATGCGGCGTTAGCGGTAACAGGAGCTATGGAAGGTAGTAGTAATCAGAAGGTCTTGAGGGACATCAGCTGGGAGTCTATGAAGGAGTTCTTTCATCGAAGTAGAATTGTTACATATCATACAATATTAGTGACTAAGTCACCTAATTATTTGTTTGACTTAATATCCTCTTCAACGAACAATTCAGTTCCTACTCATAACTATGATACTCGTAGCCAGCAAAATGATCAGCACCGGCAGCCATCTCCCAGAATGAAAATGTTTAGAGAATCATTTTTTTACCAAGCTCGTATTGATCGGCAAGAATTACCGTTTAGTACACGAAGTATAACGACGTTGAACTCTTTCAAAAAGAAAATTAAAACAACGATCAAGAAAAGGCTTCCCATTGCAAATAATCGCTTAGATGAAATTCATTTTTGTCGATGTCGAGTTGAGCGAACTCAGCTAAGACATGATCTGTACATTAGTAATCTCACCCCTGACCCGTACTGTGTATGTGGCGCAAATGAGACACTTGAACACTTTTTCCTCCATTGTCCTTTATACAAAAACCAACGAAAACTGCTATTCTCTGAGATTGTTGACATAATGCCTACGGCAACTATAACAATGTCATTACTTATGCTGTATGACTCGGTGAAATATGAAGATATGATACAGATATATCATTCTGTTTTGAAATTTATATCTACGACTAATCGCTTTAAGCAGCCTGGATTCCCGTCTGTCATGTATCAACAGTAACTTCGATCAAGTGGTTGCTACATGTGATGAGAGTAAATTGAGTTGCAGTTCTAGTGTGAGCATCATTAGGTTCAATAAACCATTGTAACGAACAGTGCAAGTGTAACATCTTTTTAAGGATAAGATAAGGATTTCTTTTTCTTTCTTTTTTCCTGACTTTTTCTTTTTTTGTTATGTTTTAGGTTCTTATGTTTACATGTATGTTTCTGTGTATAGTGCTAAAGTGAATTTCTTCTAACCCTTTGTGCTTAGGTTTTTCTTTTTAATAAAGGTTTGAGTAATCATTTTCTTAATGAAGCAGTATTTAAACTATTAGCTGTCTGTTGTTTTTTCAAGAGCAATATACTAGCAATATACTCATATCGTTCTCTGAACATTATCATGGTAATCGTGTTTGTCGTTCGTGGTTGCGTGAACAACTTACTGCACGCAATTTGTTCAAATCGGATGCAGTTGACATCGAAACAATACGACGAGAACGCCTATCTACTCGCATCTAATTATGTTTTGATAGCTATTGCGTTGATTGCATTGATTAGTTATACTGGCTTGAAGGTCCACACGAACACGATCACGGTTGCACATTCGAGTCATACTCGCTTCGAAGATTTTCTAGAGCACTATGCCCAAGGGGGAAACAGCTGATTTAGATCAACCAAAAATCATTGTAAATCACTGAAAATCACCGAAAATCAGCTAAACTCACAAAAATCAACTAAAATTCCTTAAAATCGTTTCAAATAATTTCAGATAAGCTTAAATCATCTATAACCATCCACATCATGAATTCTGGTTCGCAGATGGTGATTCATGGGAGAAGTATGGAATAAAAACTAAAGTAGTTGTTTGCGTTGCGTGATTCCTAAGAATCCTCGACTTCATTGACTTCGTGGTAAAAAGTGATGCCTCGAATGCTCCGTAACAGTATACAAGTCATGCAGCACATTGACGGTTGTTCTACTCTCTCACGAGTCCAGAGAACATTACCCGGACGGACTCGTAGTGTTTGTGCTTTTGCTTTCTGTGCGCTGAGACAAAGACGTGACAATAGTGTTCGCGTTGTTTTTCTCTTCTCTCGTTTATCTCCACCTTCTAACCGCTATTATTGGACTACTTTTGTCTAATCAATTTGCTGTTTTAAACTTTACAATAACAAAATCTTCTAAAGTGATCATAAACGCGTATCTCAATTCAATTCAGAAAATTGATTTGCGCTATTAATCACAGAAGGAATTACTATCCTTGATTGAAAAATTTGCTGACGTCGTTGATTCTGACTGTGATGATTCATTGGACTCCACTGCCAATAGTTCGTTAGATGTCGCCAATCCACTGTTTAAAACAATCGTCGCTTAGCACGACTTATTAATCGCGTAAGAAGGAGGCCTTTTTTGAGTGTAATGATTCAAGTGTGCTATTGCCGGCGCTATCATAACAGAAATTATTTCATCTTAACTTTTGTTCAAAAAGAGAGTTTGGTTTGCTAATCAGTTGAAGGAAAAGAAAGATGAAGCGGTGAAAAACGTTAAAATCGCTAAAGATGATGGTGTAGTTTAGGTGTCAGTTAATGAGGAAAAAAACTACACAAGTTGATTGAGTGATTTACAATCATTTAAAGTGATTTACAATCATTTAAAGACGAGTGTTTTTTTGAAGTAAGTTTGGTTCATGAAGATACGCCAACATTTTAGCTGCAATTTGATCATGATTAGAAAACGAAGAAATAGCAGGAGCACGATAGGCATTAATAAGAGTACAGGCAATTTGTAATCACGTATTTGCGAGATTGTTGTATTTTGAATGGTTTGATTTAGCCATTTGAAGTGCTTCACACGACCATTCGCCGATTCAACAACCCAACGAATTTTACTAATAAAGCGTGATCGATTTGCTTGAAGTACCTCAAATCGACGCCGATCATTTAAAAAAATTCGGCATACACACATCAAGACCTGGTGTTCGCATCATTCCGGTACTATCTAGAAGACCTCGATCAACGACAGCTAGATCATGTTCAGCAATCCAATTTAAAATGCCGTCCTTGTTTTTAATTAGAATATCTTTTTGTATAGTTGCGTCATTGTTTGAACTGTCTGATAAATAAGGACGATAAGCTGCTATAATATAACCTGTGGTAGTAGTAAACAACAGTGGTTTAACAAGAGACCGGTGCTTGTGAATATTGTATGTTCGTCGTTGTAATTCATTGTTCCGACTCTTCTAAAAATGCAACAAACATATTCATTAGCAACTACAAAAGTCAGTATTTTACTCTTGTCGGACAATGAAAACATTAGCTAACGAGAACAAAGTGATATATTTTTTTAGAAAAATTTTTTAGTTTTTAATATTTTTATTTTTTTTTAAAAATATAAAAAACCGAAAATGAGTTCGAAATGAGTTCGACTTTTGTTGCTAATTCCTAATTTAAGTTTTGATAAGAAAAGTTCGACTGCATTCCGAAGTGAACGATTAGATGAATATTTAATACTGGCATTGACCAGTAACTTGATTAGGTGCTCAAAGTTTAATTTTGTGATTCCAGTAAGATTGTAACAATCAAATTCTGACATTGCAAAAGGGGAATCAAAATTGAAATATCAAATTGAGTTATAATGGTTTCGGATAGATGATTAAAGTTATTTGTTGTTCAGAAATCATGAAGGACTTGGTGAAACTTGATGAATTTCAGACTTTATTCTTGTCCTTTATGTGTTCTTATAATAAGTAGAGAAGACGGATTTCGGCATCTTTTTATTTTGTTATTTAAAGAGTGTATTAGAATGCGAGAAGATGAATAAATGATAATGGTTTTATTGAATTTAAAGCAAGCATATAAAAAGATCTATTTATGTTCTTGATCCATTAGATTTTTTTTGGTTTCAGCTTATTCTATGATCGTACTGCTGTTCCAATTGAACATAATGTAATAGGAAAAATATGAGTCGAGTACATTATTCGTTGTGCTCTTGATTATTCACATTAGATTTATTGTTTTGACCAGACAACTACGATTTCAACTAGTTGCATCCTGCATGTTGTTGTGAATGCCGATTTTTTATCGATGTAAAATTGGTGTTATGACTCCGATTACAGCCGTTTTTGCAGACTGGTGGAATCGGCATAAACTTCTAGTTAAGCCACTATTCTCACTTTGCATATATTCGTTCCTTTTTTTTGTCGTCTGCTGGTAAACACACAGAATAACCAAAACAATGACTTTCTTTATTCATACTATATATTATCGTATGAAATAGAAGAGACTGTATGAGAGAGAATACGTGCTCGTGTCTTACAAAACTGATCACCTGTTACCGTTACTAAGAACGGTAACTACTCAGCAGTTATCTTTATCGAGCAATGATGATAATGGTAACTGGTAACAGCCATAGCTCTGTAATCGGTGTCATAACACCAATTTTACATGGACTGGATATATACCTCGATCAATAAAAAATCGGCATCCACAACAACATGCAGGGTGCAACTAGTTGAAATTGTAGTTGTCTGGTAAAGACCTGTAGGAACCATGTTTTTCGGTCTCATCCCAACCCCGAAAAATGCGTGAGCTGCGTAGGAGTCATTGCACGTAACGGGCGACTGCTTAAAGCAAAGGGTTGGTCAATCGATGTTACCGATTTTGCTGGTATGTTAAATCATTTCAATTTAATGTGACTGACCTAATAATTGAAGAGTGTGATTCTGCATAATCAAATATAACACATTATCAGAATTTTCTGACAGGTATTTATTATCAAAAATAATTCAACAGACGATCTATCTGAGTATTTTAATAGCATATGTGGTACATATATGAAAGAACAAAAATATACAGTAACTATTGAATGTAAGATATGGATTAACATACTGTTGTTTCACACGAAAAAGATGTGTACACATAGGAAGCAGTTCCTTCAAGTTTATAGTTGTATCGGGCAACTGTTCCTGGCGTCATACCATCAATTTCACATGGATTGACCGTGTAAAAGTGTTGGCTTGTATCAAGTTGAACATATCGATACAGAAGACACGTACCAGACTGTTTTGTTGGATAAACATATCCAATAATTCCTTCCATGTTCATTCGTTGTGTTCCTTCGTGTTCATGCGTTGTGTAAAAATGAGCGCCGTCCACAGAATATCGATACAAGGGAATTTCTAGAACACTTAAATTGTCCGTCAATATCGAAATGAAGCAAAGTACGCATCCATCTAGAAGTCAATGAGCCAAGAAGATATCCACATACTTTTGAAGATTTTTTAAAAGTCTTCCACCTTGTCGACTAAATCATGCCTTTTTTATACTTTCTGTTTGTCAGACTTGTCCCTTCCGATCCCGTACGGAACGAGATTTGTCCTGCGTCCCGTGGATCCCTAGGCAATCCCTCTTAGCATGCATTACGGTTTGGAAAATGCACCCTACACACTTCATAAAGCTGTAGCTTTGAAACAGGTGAAATACACAGTCTTCTAGAGTTCGTCAACGGCTACGAAATGCACTGACTAAACATAGAGAGTAAAATACATTTTCTTTTGTAGTAGAAAGAGAAAGAGAGAAATAGACATCCTTTGTAAGAGAGAGAAAAATGAACCGACTATGCGGTTGGTACACACGGTCAAAAATGCCTTGAGATGTTATTTTGTTAAAACGATGAATTATCCTCTTGGATCCGGTAACAATTTTTTGGATGTTCCATTGGGATATATGAAAAGGGGAACTGAAGTACTGTGTTATTTAATTTCGGCTGATATCCTAATATTATCATAGATATAATGTTTCATAAAGCTATACCATCACCATGTAATAACAGTGAAATAAAGAAAATAAATAGTTTTTGATACTAAATGGATGATGTTATGTCAGTTAAATCATTTCGTTTTAAACGTGCTACCTTCTGATAATTTAATAATAGATCGTAATTAGACCTTACTATTGTTTCCGATGGATATTTTAAATTCATTAAACATAAATCAAATATTTGATCTATATTTATTTTTTCATTTGAAAATTGACAATTGTTATTTACACATTGTCCATATTTCATTTCCCTTAAACAATTACTAAAAAATGTATATGTTTGATGATTTGACGTCAAACCTAATGAACTGCATAATTTTATTGAGGTTGTTGGCGAATTATTTGGTGTTGGAAAAAAATCATTTACTAATTTCAATAGTTCATCTCTTTGACTTTTGGCCATTCTTAATTTTCTCATAAATGCTAACATTTTTTTCACTATATTCTTTTACTGTTCGATTAGTATATGCTTGAATTTCGAATAGGCAACTCATGTTTGTATGCCGATTCTTTTTAGTTTCTGTAACAGATGATTAATACGCATGCTATTTGGCAGCTGAACTATAAATGAAGTATGGCAAAAAGAGAAATTTTATACGAGGGCCCCCGACGTATGACTTGTAACAGAAAAAGCAAACATTCAATTCAAAGTGTCTGCCGAACATGATCATATTAAAAACCACATGCTAACATTTCTTTTGAAAGATAAGAGATCAGATTTCGTTAAATATCAATATAAATATCACTTTGAAAAGACAATCTCAACATTGTCAATATCTCCATCATTTAATGCACCAGTTACATAAACACGTGTCATAGTCACAACAACATTAATGTATCGTGTGTTTACCAGAACCATTCCGGCTGCCGATCGATACATTAACTTGGCAGTGCCACCACGATCTGCGTCAAGTACCGGACCAATTTCCGTGCTGTTGCCTATCACACTTAATGTTTGACTTAGAAACTGAAATGAAACTCGAGCGTTATCATCTTGTCCACCCCAACCACCCATCCATGCCGAAAGATTATAATAAACGAGATTTGAGTCAATATCCACAGCGTAGGCGGTTACATTAATTGTCTGCATCATAGTTGTAACTGAGGGAGGCGACTGACCTCCGATGAAATAGCAGCAGCCACGTTCAGACAAGCTACCGCACAGAAAATACAATAAATACAATAAGTCTGATAAATCAAAAAATAGGAATTTCACTTACCTTGGGCCAATACTCGACAAAGACTGATCACCTGCCGTATTCAAATAAGAGATTTGAGTTGCAAGTCCGCTAACTGTCCATCCTGTCGGTTGCAGAAACACAGTATTACCACTTGAAAGACATCGCCCCGTTTCACCATCACCGTTGACGACAATGTTTGTACCATAAGCTGAAGTACACAGACTACGAGACTACAACTATGGAAGTTTATCCTATAACTTTCCACGTGACTATACAAAGTTCTCATGGTTCCCGCTGAATGCACATTATATAATTTAACAATAGCTGGAAATCCTTACATACCTCCTGTCAACGCCGGTGATGGTGAGGTTGCGGACGAATAGTTAGTTGGATAACTTGTTGGACATGTTTTCAACGTGGTTGTTCCAGTTGTTACCATTCCTAGAAACAACAAAGGAACTTTTCTTCCGAAATACCATCATTTTCCAGAACCGTTCACTATGTACTCACGTGTCGTTGCTGCATTTGTCGTTGTACTGGATGTATCAGCTGTAGTCACAAGTTTTACTTTTACCTTTGCAATGGAATTTCAAAGCTAAAAGTATGACTTACTTGTAGCAGCGGCCGATGTAGTGGCAACAGACGCTATAATTTGAAATAACATATCGTCAAGGTTTGTGTAAGAAACTGAGCTTGTAGGTGCGGTAACATCTTAGAGCACAATACACATTCATTTCTTTAACTGTTTCACTCCGAAACCGAAATATTTTATGGGTGAACGTAGGAAATGTTTGACTTCAAATGTAAGAACGCCGAGTCGAGCTAATTCGCGTTGAACTTAAACTGTGTTTCGGATTAAATAAGCTGCTGGCACACTTATTATGAG